GCTAAGCTTCTCTTTTTTGTTCCTTCAGAGAGAAGCTTAGGCTATTGATTTAAGATAATACTCTTGTTCTACTTAAGACATTTAAAGTTCTAAATTTCCTCTAGGCATTACTTTTAGCTGCATCCAATAAAGTTTGGTAGGTAGCGTTTTCATTTTTATTCAATCCAAAATATCTTCAAAAATTTTTTTGATTTCCTTTTTGATTCACAGATTATTTTTAAATATATTAATTAATATCCAAATGTTGTTTAAATCTAAAATTTCCTTCTGATTTTTATTTCTAGTTTAATTTTTTTGTAACTAGAAATCATCCTTTTATGGGCAGCCTTTTATTAATCATTTAAAATATTTTTTCATGAATGAGTGTTTTTCAATTTGATATGTACCTTTGTCAATTTCCAGTGCTGTAAAGTAGTCATTTTGGACAATCTTTCCAGTCTTAATTGTTGCTTTTGGGGAAGGGATTTGCTGAGCTATTCACTCAACCATTCCAGAAGTACTCTTAATCTTATTTTTGACAACATTTTTCTCCAAATTTAGTGCACTTCTCATAAATTTCCTTCTAACCAGTTAGTTTCATGTGTCAATAGCTATTTCCAAAGTACAACTGTAGATACATTTGTCAATTTCATTTTTTTCCTTATGTGTCTTCTTCATGGTTTCTCTCTTGAAGCTACCTGGTAAAATTGTAAGAAGTCCATCATTGTGATCTTTGCTCATTCTTAACTTTCCCAAGTCATTTGGTTCATTAAAGAAATTGCACTATTCCTTTGTGCTAAAAATGCACTTTTAATTTCATCTTTTATTTCAGGTGGCCTACAAAAGTGATTGCCTTACTTGTTCTGTAAAAGCCAAGATTGTAAATATTTTAAGGTTTGTGGGCTATGTAGTCTCTGTCACAATTACTCAGCTGTGCCCTTTTAGCACAAAAGCAGCCATAGGCACTGCATAATGAGTTAGTATGGTTGTGTTACAATAAAACTGTATGTACACAAATGACGGGTGGTAGGCTGAATTTGGCTCCTGGGCCAATCTGCTGACTCTTGGTCTAGAAAAAGTTACCTTTTTAAACTCTGAAAATTTACCCATTTTAGGAATTTTTAAAACT